AGCAGAACTATATCTACTCACAAATATTCTTCTGGCAATTAAAATATATTTTGCGCAACTGAGACTCCTATGGGTGTTATTTCCAGATAATCGTTCAAAGTGCTGGAAGGCTGATTGTCCTTTAACTTGTGAGCTATGTAATAGCAGAATAGAAGATGAAATCACGCATATAATTTGTGCGTGTAAAGTATATACATTTACAGAAGTTTTTCTAATTGCATCTTTTTAAAATATTATGTATAAAAAATAATAATATAGGGGTCGGTGGAAGGATGGTCTAAACCGTTGGTTTTCAACCGCTACGACCCGGGTTCGATTCCCGCATTAGGTACTTTTTTTTCTGATTAAAAAAAAAATGCTCCAATGGCCTTTGATTCTTCCAAAAGTCCAACCCTACCAGCGTGTGCAAATAATCAAACGGGACTCTGGCACATTTGTAAGTGCAAACTGCTTTTCACATGTGTAGATATGTGGTGCACTTACAGTAAAAGCAGTCGTCAACCTCTACCCACCATGACTATCATGGCCTGTACCACGTGTACTAAGGATAAGCAAAATATATATATATATATAGACCCTGTAAAAAAAGTCGGCTTGATGTAACATTGGTTAAAATCACTTAAAACGATATACACTCGTTGACAAAACTTAAGGAAGTGGAAAGTCGTTGATATCGCCTGTCGTCTGTTTTATTCTAAGGAGACAGGGGCAATTTTGTTCACACTTGGTTATCTCGTATGTTCAATAAATATCATTGTGTCAAATATCTTTCAGAGTTATTGTCTCAATTCCGATATACATACAAAAATGTAAAATTTTTGTTCATGAGTGTAAGTTGGCTGTTGTTAATCTTTGAAAATGGCTCTTTTTTTTTACATTAATACTCTAGAATTCGAAAATATATCTTGAGATATCTCAGATTCTACTTTGTCTTTATAGATGTAACACTTTGTAGAACTGTGTGGAAACATTTTTTTCTTCACAAGATGCAACCATTTACTCAATAATCTACTTCTTCACTGTGTTCTATGCACGAAAAACGATGTATATAGTCTTTTGTACATAGATATTCTTTCCTTGTTTTCTTTTTCTCTTTTCTGAGCGAGGATTCAGTTTCTTTCCCTGCTTCTCATTTTTTTTATATTCATTTCTAACAGGAGAATCGTCTGTATAAGACGGAATGTCTTAATAAAGGCTTGTGTATGTAACACTTTGTATCGTTATTTCTTAAAATACGTAGTTTTTCTGGAAAAAAACGTTTGCTGTGCGAGATACCAGGAAGGGAAAGTTGCTAAGTAAACAACTTTCAGTCAAAAATGTGGCGTGTAAATATTTATAGTGGCGATGGAATTTAAAGTTGTCTATTTTACCCTGGCCATTTCCTTATATTGTTGTGGGGCTAATTTTCTCTTATTCATAAATACAAACTGTTTCCCATATTTATACGAAATATTCTTGATTACCATTTTGTCAAATCTATATTAAAGAGCAGGGGTTGTGGTAAAAACTGGTAGAAAATCTCAATTTTTAACAGAAACTGCCCGGGATCGAAACCAGCATTGGTCTTTTTTTTTCTGAATAAAAAAAAACTATTTTTGTAAAATCGGAAAAACCCTCTAAAATATAAATTACTAGCCGAATGACCCGGGCAACGCCCGGGGTTTACCCGATTAAATGCTTTTATTCAAATACTATTCGTTACAATTATAAATTGGCGCCGTGGATGTCATTCTTGTGAAACGTCCCGCTCCAAACTTTGTGTCAGAGAAGCGATATTTTTATAAAGAGATGATCTGGCTTTGTGTCTTCTGCTCGAATGAATGTTTTTCTGTTAGAATTTTGTTCCTGCATACTAAAAATGAACTGGCTTCACCCGTGGTCTCTGCTTTTTGGATTTTTTCCGGATATAATTTTGTATCTGATAATCAAATATGATACAGCAATATTGTCATCATCATTTCCTGAATAAAAAACAACTACGTTTTTCCCCAGAACCTGTCAATTTATTTTTCTTGACTAAAAATCCGAAAAATATATTTTCCAGATTTTTCTCAATGTCCTGTTTAAACACGTTTTACATGTCCATTAGGTCAGCTGATATTACCTCCCATCTTCACCGCTAGAGGCGCTGCTTGCGAGCGAAAGGGCAAATTTGCCACGCAATTTGCAAATAACTTGTATTCATACTTGTATACTTGTGTACATAGACCATAAATCTGTACATAGACAGGAAAAGCACATATATTTTAATAATATAAATGAGTTTTAAAAATTGTAAAAAAAAAAACATCGGCCGGGAATCGAACCCAGGGCGCCCGCGTGGCAGGCGAGCATTCTACCACTGAACCAAAAGCAAACGGTGACAGAATTAAGAAAGAATTGTGCATGACGCTGATAACTGTATATATTAATAATAAAACACAGGCTCCCAGGATAAATTTCTTTCTTTATTAAACGTTCTCTTTCAGGTATTGCAAACCAGGAGTATACAACGAAATGAATACTATGCTAAATAGTTTTATTAGCACTTCTGAGATATGTAAATAATTTATAAAATATAAATAGTAGTTAAAAAACAGATACCATTCGTTGTATACTCCTATAGAAGTGTTTACAGTACCCAAAAGCTTAAGAGAACGTTTAATAAAGTAAAAAACTCATCCCTGAAGATTGCGTTTTAATGTAAAATTAAGAAAAATTACTCCAATGGCCCGCGTTTCTTAAAGTATAACTCCGTCAATGAGTGCAAGTAAACAAACGGTACTCTGGCACACTTGTAAAAGCAAAAGTCGAACTGATTTCCATATTTATAAACATACTAGCCGAATGACCCGGGCAGCAACGCCCGTGTTTTACCCGATTGAATGTTTTGATTCAAATACTATTTGTTACAATTATAAATTGGCGCCTTATATAAATGCATATTTTAGTTAATAACTATAGCCTATGTGCTTTATCTGTCTATGTACTGTTGGCTTCCGTAGGCGTCTCTTACTGGGAAAAAGAAAGAGAGGATTGCATTTGGTTATTAACTAATATATGCATTTATTTAAGGAGCGACCCGCTCCAACACAATAGTTACAGAAATGGGGGGGGGGGGGGGCAAAGGTGCCGTGATCGTAGCCGACTAATAGGAGGGCGCCATTCCAAAAAAAAAAAGCAAACCGTGACAGAGGCCACGCATGACGCTCGTAACTGTATATAGAATGGTGCATTTACAGTAAAATAAGTTTCAGATAATAAAGTAAGTGTCTAAGGATGAATATTTTTTTATTAAACGTTTTTCAATCTTTCGGGATAACGCCCTTCTACAGGAAAATTTATACATTTTGTATCTCGAAAAACGTTTAATAAAAGATACTCATTCAAAGACGTTATTTTATTATCTAAAATTGCTAGCAAAGAACTATATTCTAAACAGTAAAAGAAGTCGCTGACTACTACTACCTAAAACGAAAACTATACAACGAAAATTATATTGCCACGTGTGGAAAATTAGGGAAAACAAAAACTTCAGGAGGAGACAACAATTTATTTCAGGCAAGGACAAACTATGAATGGTAAACAAAAGATAAGCCACGAGGGAAATTTACAGAGTAGCAAAATATAAACATAAAAATAACAACTCTGTTAATAAAAAGAATAAAATTAATAAATACTTTGTTACAATATAAACATTGAACTGAGAGCTCCTGTCCTTGTCTGGAGGAGGACATGATGGAGGAGCCTTCCTTCCTGATATAACAGCTTTTCATATTTTATCATAAAATTGTTAATAATCACATTTATCTTTGTTTAATTTATCTTTGATTTTGGTAACAATTGACTAAGAGTTTCAATAAAATATTGTATCAAAGCCGACTTCATTGTGAAATTGCTGGCTCGGCAACCCTGGAGCTGACGTCACTGCCTGTGGATGTAACCCTTGCAAGGCCGCGTAGCCACGAGACTTATTCCTTCTTCTTCTCTGATTGTTTACTATTTAATCTTTAGATATATTTCCTTCTTTCTCTTTAGATAGAATAATAAAAACTATATTTTTGTTTGTTGAGTTGGTCAACCGACTGGCTAATTATTTTCAACACTACAATATTTTGAATTGTCGACTACCTACCATGATTATCATGACCTGTACTATGTGTACTAGGAATAATAATATTGTTTTTTAAATATTGAAGAGCATATATAATAATATATCAAAAGAAGCATCTCTCTCTTTTTATATGCGTTAGCAATGTACACACAACAATATTTGAATAAGAAAATTGACTTTAGGAAAAGGGTTTCTTTTTTATTTGAAGTGTTGCAATCTTTCGCACAAATTTTCGAGCAACACTTGTTTTTATTCAAATGATCAATGAAAGAAACTCCGTATATAAATACTTATGAGAATTCGAAACAATTATAGACGCGTATGATTCTTTTAAAAAATGAACAATGTTCTACTGCCCTTATTGTCCAGGGTAGCCTAGTGGACATGGCATCTGCCCAGTGAGCGGAATACTGTGGGTTCGATTCCCATCCCTGGGAACTTTATTTTTCCGTTTATCATTACTCTTTACAATTCATCCTATCATACTTCATACTGCCCTTATTGTAATGAAAAATTAAGGCATTAAATAATTGTTTAATTTTTAAAAGAATCATACGCGTCTATAATAATTTCGAATTCTCAGAACAGATGGCACGCTAATGTATCAATTATAAATACTTATTCATGATAAAATTGAAACAAAACAAAGTCAGTGGACGAGTGGGTAATACCCTCGATTCCCGACAGTCATGAACCGGGATTGAATCCCTGAGTTAAAATTTCGTTTAATATGTGAATAACCTTCATATATTATTCATTGTTTCAATTATCATAAACTAGGTTGCTCTTGTTGAGCGGTACCTAATAAAGTGATTTTGAACCGATGATAAAATTGTGAAAAAGCTTTAAAATTACAAATATTTTCTTACAATGAGTTTCTTTTTATTAAAAGACACTAGCTTTCAAGCGATTATCGCTATTTAACGGGCTTAATAAAATAGCGACTATATCCAACCAGAAATATTTACAAAAACAAACGCGCGAAAAATCAAATTATATTTATATTAAAAATGTTTTAAATGTATCGATTACATTTTCATCAAAATAATAAAATTTGAAAAATTGCGTTAGAGTAAAATAATTGAGATCTGTTTCAAGCTATATTTATACATCTGACAAAGTTCTCTGTAAAAAAAAATCATTTATAATTTTAAGTTTAAAAAATTTTAGGAAAAAAAAAAAAAGGTTCCACCGAGATTTGAACTCGGATCGCTGGATTCAAAGTCCAGAGTGCTAACCATTACACCATGGAACCACTGAAAGATTTGTCCAATTATCTCTTAACATGATTGAAGAGGGAGTGGATGGGGAAAGGAGGGGGGGACATTGGAATTTGGGTCAAGAAATGTCAGGTAGTCGTTCAAGAAGAGTCTTCTTTCCTCATCAAATTTTATAGGTGTATAGAAATTTTCACATATTTTTGGCAAATTTGTTAATAAAATGTATATATATAATTGCCATCGATAAAATTAGTAAAAAATACATTTTCTGTCAATGTGTTTCTTTTTAAAATAGCATCAAATATTATCTCTACAGACCTTACTTCAATGATAAAAGTTATTCAATGAGAGAACTTGGCTTATCAGTGGTGAACTCTCTCAGACCGTTCTACTATTGTATTGGATTCCAAAATCACTTTATTAGGTACCGCTCAACAAAAGCAACCTAGTTTATGATATTTGCAACAATGAATAATATGTGAAGGTTATTCACATATTAAACAAAATGTTAACGCGGGATTTAATCCCAGTTCATGACTGTCGGGAATCGAGGGTGTTACCCACTCGTCAACCGACTTCTTTTTATTGGATTGGTTTTCTCATATACCCTACATTTTCTATGGAAGGCAGCTTAGTGGTGTTTTGTGAACCTATATAAAAAAATGTATGAACACTCGGACTTTTTATTTTTATTGTTTATAACCTAACTACAACAACAACAACAACAACAAAAAGCCTTTATTTAGGGTCACTGACCCTATACAGGATTCACCAGAGGTATGCATGAGAACAAAGCAGTGAGACAAAGGAAATAACGATATATACAGAAGAAAAAGAAAAAAAAAAAAAACAAGAAAGAGAAAATGGGAAGCAAGAAAAACAACACAAAAAGAGTAGCAGTAAGAAAGTGAGGTGTGAGTGTCACTTGGCCTTCTTCTCAGATATGGACTTGTGGAAACCATAAAACGCCGTAGCAATATACTTATTCTGGGTCATATTGTCAATTATTGATGGAAGTGAAGCACAGAGTTGCCCAGTTTTGAGCATAAGGGTTCTTCTTTCAGAGCAGAGCAATCAAAAATATAGTGAGAGATTTCATTTTTTAGTTTTGAATTACAGAAGGTACAAATCGGGTCCTCACCGCAGAGCATATTGGTGTGGTTTTCTCTAAAAAAACTTGAAAGTATTCTAACTTGTGCGAGTAGTCTTACAACCGGGAAAGGAAAATCCCCTAAAAGGTATCCCTATGTCATGAAATATATGTGAATGTCTTTGTAGTGAGAGTATAGCTTAGATTTATCCATTCTTGTAAGGTCGTTTTGTATAGATTGGTCTGCCGCTGTTTTTAAGAGCCCTGTAATCGCGCTCCTCAGCGTTTCAGGATCATCACAGGAAACAAGTGCAGGGGATCCATTATTGTTAAGCAGATTGGTGAGCTTTTTAATGAAGCCGATGGGTGTGCCCGAAGCATTAGACAGTTTCCGTGTTCTATTAAAACATATACGCGGCAATCTGTCTCTGCTCATATTAACCTAACTACTAAAGAATTAAGAAATACTGGCTTATACAGTTAATTGGGATATAACACTGAAATATTTTGGGTGTCCAAGGATTTTGGTATGGAAGCTAATAAAAATGAATTAGAGTCTTCCATAAGAGATTATTACCTGAATACATGGCTATTCTTGGTCTCTTATGTAAGTGGTCTTTCATAAGAAACACTTTGTTAAATTATGAGGAGTATTTATAGGAGTATAAATAGAGTCTCTGATTAAAGACCACCTGCATGGGAGATCGGGTTTGACCATGTTTTTAGACTATTGACACCCACTCCTCACTTTCTTACTGCTACTCTTTTTGTGTTGTTTTTCTTGCTTCCCTCTTTCTCTTTCTTGTTTTTTTTTCTTTTTCTTCTGTATATATCGTTATTTCCTTTGTCTCACTGCTTTGTTCTTATGCATACCTCTGGTGAATCCTGTATAGGGTCAGTGACCTTGAATAAAGGCTTTTTGTTGTTGTTGTTTTTAGACTATGACCGCTCATGGGATATCACTGAATACGCTCCATCAAATTTATGATCAAATCAGATTTCAAATACAAGAGGAGAAAATAGATTTTTTAAAACTATTTCAAATGTTTAGAGTTTCGTATTCACAAGACAACTATCTGCCTTCAAATTACGCATCTTTTTGCACATAAATAAGTCGATGGACGAGTGGGTAACACCCTCGATTCCTGACAGTCATGAACAGGGATTGAATCCCGCGTTAACATTTTTGTTTAATATGTGAATAGCCTTCATATATTATTCATTGTTTCAATTATTATAAACTAGGTTGCTCTTGTTTGAGCGGTACCTAATAAAGTGATTTTGAACTGGCATCTATTTGCATTTTTAACAAAAAATATATATATATATGTGGCAATATAGTGATAATGTGGGGAGAGAGAAATAAGGAAACCACAAGTTTGGGAGATGGGACCCAGCAAACCGAGAGAGAGAGGGAGCGCTAGTGGCTGCCACTGCGGAACGACCGTTTGTGTCCAACCACCCCCCGACTATCCAAAAATAGACCTGAGGTTCCAAGAAAAGGCCCTGCGGTCGCCCCCTTGGAATGTGACTGTTGGTGTCCCAAATGACCGTACTTTAGCTGCGTTCTCTCTCTCTCTGGTCGACTGTAGATTTACTTTTTTATTCCTGGAAGAGCATATATTATGACATATATATATATATAGCTACATCAACCAATTTTTTATTCAGTTACTGACGTCTCAGTGACTCACTCTTTCTCCTGAGGAGACAGACAGTGAATCCCTGAAACATCGGGAACTGAATAAAAAAATTGGGGTTAATATGTAGCCATGTATTTTTCTAAACAAACTTCAACAAATGATCTTCTAAAATAAAAATTTGAATATGAATGATCTCTCTATTGAAATATAGGATATATGAAGACCAATATCAGATCATTCTGCCATTTCAGGTAAATGGTATATACCTAGGTTATAGGTATTCCTCTGCTATCCTTTTTATATCTCTTAGATGAGATTCCTTTAGCCAAGAGTTATTTTCTCTTATTAATCAACAATCGACGCTGTTCTCAAACTTTTAAGGAGTAATCCTTATTTATGTAAATCTTCTTATTTTTCTTTCTTCTTATCTCCACTCAATCATATTAGGGTATCAATCTTGTAAAGCTTGATACGAATGGTCGATTAAACTTCAACTTTTCATATTTTATTGTGCATAAAGGCAGCAATCTAATATCCAAATTTTGACAGGCCTTTTTTGCCCTATGCTTTGACCTTTTGCGTGACCATTAGTGAATTCCTCTGCTATCCTTTTTATATCTCTTAGATGAGATTCCTTTAGCCAAGAGTTCTTTTCTCTTATTAATCAACAATCGACGCTGTTCTCAAACTTTTAAGAAGTAATCCTTATTTATGTAAATCTTCTTATTTTTCTTTCTTCTTATCTCCACTCAATCATATTAGGGTATCAAGCTTGTAAAGCTTGATACGAATGGTCGATTAAACTTCAACTTTTCATATTTTCTTGTGCATAAAGGTAGCAATCTAATATCCAAATTTTGACAGGCCTTTTTTGCCCTATGCTTTGACCTTTTGCGTGACCATTAGTGAAAAATTGCGTCTGCCTTTGTCATTGAGACTGGGAGCACTACTCAGTGGCAGGCCGACTTAGTTCCAAAAGAAATGGCCGCCTCTGACATGAGGAACAGACGCTGTGTGCAGCCGCTCCTAACATGGAGTACAAACGCTGCTCATCCTGTATCTCTGGATTAGGAGCCCTTACAGGGTACTATCAGCTGAGCCCAGGTTTTTTACCGAGCTTGTTACTGCTCCCCCTCCTCCTTTTTCATTCGGGCTTGGGACCTGTATGTAATTCCTTGATTCTCCTTAAGTTTAAATGCATTCCTAAATAATTTCATTCTGTCTTTATATTAGGGTATTTCAACCAGTAGGGGTGCGCTCGGCCTTTTAGACAATCGATGACATTTAAGGATGTCAATATTTTCGGAGATTTGAATATTAGTTATCCTTTTTATATATATATTCCTATTAGTTATGGGAGAGGGTAGAAAACACTGGACTTACTCAACAACAGCAAAGAAGAAGATATTTCTGACTAATGCACAAAATGGTTTCCCATAGAATTAACATGGAAAATATTGAAATCCCTTACACTCAAAGTTGCAT